ATTCAAGTCTACATAAAAATGAAATATAAATTAGAAGTAATAAAGATAAAATATTTTAAAGTATTGATAATACTTACCAACTATTTAATATAATAATCAGTTGCTTGACTTTTCATACTAACTATTAAGAGACTATACAAGAAAAAATTGAAAAAAAAAATACAACTAACAAATATAAATAAACTCTAAATTGTTCAAATAATAAGATTTAATAAGAAAAAAATTATTAATTTATTTAAAAAAATAAAAAAAATTGATTTATCCAATAAAAAAATTTCGATTCTTATTCAATTATTCGATTTTGGGTCTAGAACCGAGAACCGAACCAAACCATTCGATTCTCGATTCGGATACCCGTTTGGGTATTTCATTTAAAAAAAACACGCTCGGTTCGGTTAGGTTCGGTTCCGATTCGGACATTTTGCCCAGCTCTAACTGCGTTCGATACAGAATGAGAGCGCGAAATTCTAAAAGATTCTTAAACTCTAAACCATCATTTTGAAGTAAGAAATTTGGGGCACAAAACAAGGATTGGTTTTAGGATGGCTCAAGGTAAATTTTGAAGAGTGGGAAACCTCATCATTCCAAAAAAGCAAAAAAGTTTAATTTAGATATTTTAAAAATCTGGCCCTTAAATGAAATTAATCTGGGCAATCCATTTTAATTATTTCCCTATAAATTCCATGTACATTTCATTGTAAAACATAGAGCGCAAGTGAGGAAAAACACTTGCTTAATTGTAAAGTTCTCTTTGAATATAAAAGGTAGATTCTTCCAAACTGTAGGGTTGTTCTTGTTCTTTTATTTTCTGTCTTTAATGCCTCGCCACAAAGGCTCCAAACTAAACTTACGTGATAGTCCATTTGAATAAATGAATCAAGTTGACAAAGTCAATGAAGGTCTCGATTGGTCTGAGTGGCAAGAGAAATGAGTGACAAAGTCAAAGAAAAGAATATGAAACTCTCCATTCCGAAACTCCCTTTGGCCAAAGCCCTCCCTTGCTCTCAAAGAATCTGTAGACAATATTTAGGAATGATTAATGTGACGTTTGTAATAATGAATATCAAGTCTGTCAGCCTAGGGCGTAGGGTAGTTGACCCGTTGTGGATATATTAAATGCGTAGCGGCTAGTGATATGATACTTCAACCCGTGAGAAGAGACCACGTGGTTCTTATCCTATGGTTACCACTTCGGCCAGAGCTCTATAAATAGCAACTCTTGTAACATTTGAATCTAATGCAACTCTTTACACTTAAAAGCCACTTTCAATATTCTCTATCTTATTTCACATTCTTGATTTAAGATCATTTTGCTTTGATTAAGTTTCTTATAGCTGATGATCAATATACAATCACATTTAAATATGTCGTCGGTGTCTAAACATTTTGTCTTATGTGTTAGAACATCTTCCACGTTCACATATAGCGACCCTATCCAACCAAGTTTCCAGTTAAGGTGTGTTGGAAATGGCTTACATGGACACGAGTGAGTCCTACATATGTTGTTCACGTCATCTTTGCAAAAAATGAGGTCAATAGATTGACTTCTTCTGTGGAAACGACATATACAACCACAAGGAACCCGTGGAAAAGCTGATTAGAAAATATATTTTTGGTGAGTTTCCCGCCTATGAAGAAAAGGGGTTGTTCTTCAAGAAAGAACAACTAAAAACCCTAAGAGAGAAACTACTTGGAAAAGAGTTCAGGTTGTTCATTGAAAAATGATTATCATTTGTCAAGAAAAGATCCTCGAGAAATTTCTTTGAAGAAAAGACGTTAACATGAGCTCCAACGATGAAGAGTCAGCGTCTAGAAGGGCTAGGGAATATCCTGAAGAAGGGAAACCCTCATACATCTTTCCCGTGGCCCGCCATCGATTTCATCAACTGCATCGACAAGGTGGATCTAGACTAGTTGCCGACTCACTAGGGAAGTGGCCACCATGGCTACAAACATTAGCAATATCATCTAACATAATATCGACATGCAAGAGCCGCTTTGGAACATGAAGAGCTAGAGAGGATACCCAATCCCCCTATACGCAGCCTAATGAAATGATTTCTCCCACGATCCCCTTAATTGCGCAAAGAAACTATTATCGTACTGAAAAAGAAATACAATGCTAAATGGCTGATTACCAACACTGCACTAGGGAAAAAGCTCCCCAAGAAAGGGGAGTTGGGGTCGACACTTCCTTCAACTATGCGACTAATTGGCCCAACAAGGCTCCATTCAAAATTTCTCCCAATTACGAACAGGATGTCATGCCTCAGAGATCCATAAGTTTCTTTGACCAGTTGAGCACAATAAGGCCTAGAAACAAACATTTCGAACTATCACAAGAGCCTAGAAAATGTAAGAATATGGCAGAACAGGCCAGAAATCAAGCAGGTCAGTCCCAACTACCTCTGAACCTCAATCGGAGAGGATGAAGATTTCGATGAACCACAAAGGTCTTGCGACCCCAACGAGGATAACGACAACTTGACATTTTCTCAGGGACTATGGGATGCCCCTATCCCAAGGTACTTCGTGCCGCCAAAAATTCCCAAGTATGATGGAAGTGGTGATCCCAAAAAGCACTACAAGAGCTTTAAAACCCATATGAGCTTAAGGATTCCTCCCTTGCAGTGAAATGTAGAGCTTTCCACTTGACTCTAAGTAAGGCGGCCAAAGTATAGTATACTAGACTTCTAGAATGAAGTATCAAAAGCCGATCAAATTTCAAAAAGGCTTTCCTTAAGCTCTTCGCAACTAGTAAGAAAGGTGAATGACCTATACAAAGCCTCCAAGACATGAGGCAATTACAATGAGAGTCATTGAAAAGCTTTTTTATCATGTTTCACTGATGAAATGACCTACTATGTACAAGTTAGAAACATAAAAGCACTATTAGCCTGAGGGGATGGCTGGATATGAACTGTCTCTTTTGGATAAACGTGCAGACAAAGACCTTATTAGTTACGATGCCCTACTAGAAATGCTAAGGCACGAGACCATCAATGAATAATTAAAAGATCTAGGGTCTACTGAGGACTCCAACCTTTTCAAAGACAACGAGGAAGAGATCTCATCTCCCTTTTAATGGATCACTAGATCGAACAGTCAACTATCCTCAGCTTAGGACAAGCACTAACTGCAGTAACCCTAAATGCAATGCCTACTTTAGATTATGAACAAGTCAACCCCAACGTTTAGATGTACCAGGAAATGTCTAGCTAACGATTTCGTCAAAGGAAAATGGGTAGGAGATGAAGTTCTACACCTAGAAATAGGGACGAAGTACCCATATACTGCACCTATCACCACTCCTGCATCCATAGCACAGCTGAAGAGATATTGCATTGCACCCTCGCATAATAATCAAAGGAGGAATAGACGCCTACGAGGAGATGCGCCCTCTTCTAGGCAAGACCGGCAACATAGGAGAGATTAAGGTGTCTCCTTCGAAATGATGTCACTCGAAGGCGAGAAAGCAATGGGAAAATGCCTAGGGGAAGGCCAAAGGTAAAGGAGAAGCCTCTAGCTAACACATGCTACAAGCCCATTAGAGAGATATATACAATTTTCGAAGGCCCATACGTTGGGAGAAAACTAGAAATGGGCAAAGGAACTATGTTAAAGAGGCCACAGATCCTCCTATGGCAAGTTTCATAATCAACAACAGTTGATCCTCAACTAAAAGGAGG